CATATATATAAATATATATAAATATATATATATATATATATATATATATATATATATATATATATATATATATATATATATATATATATATATATATGCATATATATATATATATATATATATAGCAAACTCTCGACAAATCCAACTCAATATGTGCAAGCATGAAAACAAGAACACTAAAAACTAGATTATGATGAGTATGTTTGATATACTTAAGGATGGGTGTAGAGGCAGTTATGTACATTTACTAACTTTTTAATGATAGGCACAGTGGAGTAATGTATTGAACAATCTGATGCATATTTGCTGATACCATATGATGCATATATACTATATAAAAAATCCTATATACTATATAAATATAAATACCGTATAACACCATGAATTATATAATTAACCATATGGTAATCACCAAAAATAAGAAGATTTTACAATGCATGATAAAGTTCTTTCAAACTTTACATTTCACTTTTGTAGTAGCAACCAAAATACTTTTTAACGTCAATGTTTTATGTTTGCAATTTTTGTGTTCACGTGTTTAATGTTCAGCAACTATAAAGCAACCTATAAAGCAACCTATCTTTAAATTTCACGTAAAGGAGAGAAGAATAAACCAGTAAATCAACTAAAAACATTTTACATACAATTTTTATATTTCTAATTCTATATAGGTTATATGTTTATTATATATATATATATATATATATATATATATATATATATATATATATATATTATATATATATATATATATATATATATATATATATATATATATATATATATATATATATATATATATATATATATATATATAAATTATTATATATCAACCTATATGTTCTATAAAATAAAGCTCCAGCGAATATCAGAGAAAAACAAGAAATCTCCTCTCTTTGGTCCAAAGAGAGGAGGTTTCTATAACAATCCCCTAATAAATACTCAAAATTTGAGAATATATAAACTATGTATTAGATATATATTATATAGACTATATATAGACTACATATTATTGAGAATATATAGACTATATATCCTTATTTGATTGACTGTTTTTATATTATTATTATCAAATAGTAAAGTTGTTCGCAACATTTTAATGCATTAGTTTTAAAAACAGTATCAACTTACTTTATTTACTATTTGATAATAATAATATTAGTAAACAGTCAATAAAATAAGGATACTACATTCAACAACTTTTTTAATATGCTTTAAAGTTGTTTAATTAGTCAAATATTTGATCTAAAAAACTTTTATTAACGCAAGGTTTATTAATGCAAACTTTTTAATTACAAGAGTATTAAAACGACTTAGATTAAATCACGTCAATAATAAATCTATTACTTGCCTTATGTAATCTCTAAATAATAATAATTACTTACTTTTCTTTATTTATATAAATAAAGAAAAGCAGCAATTGGTACAAAAATTTACGTTCAAAATGGCATTTGTTTTAATATTCGCTGAAAGAATAACGTCATTACATTACCATAAACGGAGTGAGCAGGTCTCGGTACATGAACACTCTCTTAGAACGACTAAGCAATAAAAAAAAGATGCCTCTAAAATTATGCGAGATTGTGTTGTTTATTTGATAACTGTTGTTGGTAATGTTGTTTATGTTGATTATTTTCATAAATATCAAAATAGTTCCAGATTAATCTGTTCGTTGCTTTGCTCATTATTGATTTATTTCTAATTTAATTTTATCTCAAACTATATTTATATATTAAAAAATAAAAGTTTTTATTTCATCGGGCGCTCTTTTTATAAAAGAGTAGAACAAAAGAGAAAGAAAAGTTTCGCGCAATTAAACTTTGATTGAATAAGAGTTGTAAAGAATATATATATTTTTTGCGTCACTCGTTCTTTTTTAGATGGGAGAAATAAAAGTTTAATAGCTTAATTTTCTTTGAATAAATGAGAATTGGAAGAGAAAATTGCTTGAAAATTTGTATTTGTTAATAGTGTTTTTAAAATTTTTTAATTTTTCTGTTAAGAGACAAATGCCAATTACGACACAAATTTGGAAATACCAAATATAATATGTTTTTTAATGCGCGTTATGACATTTTAACAATTTAAATTACCATCTATCTTGAATTATTGCCATTAATTAATGTGTTAAGTATTGCGTTATTTAATAATAATTTGTCCGTATTTTGGTTAAATATTAGTTGTATAGAACGGGCAAAAATATACAAACTTCATGTTTTTTATTTGATGGTTATAAAATATTGAACAGTAAACTTATAATCAAGATTTATAATGCCGACTAGTGTTGCAATTAATTGTACTTTCAGGATCTCACATATCCTTTCACGAATTTTCATATCTGATACTACTGCCAAGTGTTAAAAAAAAAAGTACAAAAATACACTAAACTATTGTTTAGTGTATTCTTGTATTTTTTTTCATAATCTTAACAGGTTCTAATTGGTATGAAGTTGCTGACATTTTAAAAATTTCATTATCAAAAACCAAATGTAAAATAAAATGGTATTTCCTTTCTATCTGTATCCAATTCAGCAAATTTAGCAATTTAAATTTAATCAGCGTGATCAAAAAAATTTTATAATAAAAAAAGTTAACAATTCATTAAATATCTTTAATTAATACTGTTAGTTTATGAATGTAATTGTTAATAAATACTTTTTTTCAACGGGAAAACAAAAAATTGTCATAGCCTAAAAATAACCAGAGAAGTTAGAAAATAGTTCCCATTGTTTAAATAAAAATAATTAAGAATCAGAATATATAATACTGCGCTCTCTAGCGCTAAAACAAGAGACCGTATATAAAACGTTCTATATAATGTAAAATACTCGTATGAAAAGCATGAGATTGGTAAGTAAAGCTTTAATATTTGTTTTAATTTAAATAATTAAAGAAATATAAGTAAGATATATAAATCTAAAAATTATTAAGATATCTGTAAAAAATAAGTAGCTCCTATAAAATAAAAATAATTTATTGTTTTTACTTTTTACAAAATTGTTTTTGCGATGTTAAGAAAAATAATACAAATAAATTTGTTTTGCTGTATGTTACAGTAGAAAAACGCAGCTTAGTTTAATTACACTTTTCTTTTGTTAAAAGTCTATCGTGACGTCAAATACTAAAACTTTTATGAATTAAACGCGCTTCAAAGGAACTGCCAAAGTCTGTAGATTGCGACGCATAATTTGAAGACTCCGAGTAGTTGAAAAAAATGGAGAAGACGAGCTTCGGCAAAAACAACAACATTTGTTTTTCACGGTATGCATTCATTATTTATTTTTAATCAAAAAAATTTGGTTCAAACCTTTTTTTTTAACATTATCTTTAATATGAACACAACATGTGTTGGGAGTTTGGGATCCCTTTAAGCTCTATACCTTTTGTCAAAAAATCACTTGTTTTTTCACTACAAAAAGTTTAATAACTTTTGATCCGCTTAACTTCAAAGGTCGAATGACCCCTCATTTTTTAAGTCAAACTCTATACAATGGCATCAATTATATATGAATATTTAAATTATAAAAAAATCGTGATTATAGTAAAAAGACAGCGTATAACTATTTTTAAATATATTTAGTATATTTAGATGTAAAAATATATTAACAATAATATATTTTAACGTTGCCTTTTTTTCAAAATCAACTTACATATTTTACGTATAACAAGAAATGACTTTTAAAGATATGTATATATATATATATATATATATATATATATATATATATATATATATATATATATATATATATATATATATATATATATATATATATATATATATATATATATATATATATATATATAATATTGGTTTACCACTCCTGCCCTTAGGCCTTTCCGGCGTGCCTGAAGAGATCCGAAGAAAAATAAAGCGTTTAGTCCCTATCGCTTTCAAAAAATGCCGTTTTATTTTATGCGCGTTTTGATTGGTTTGTTTTTAAAAAAAAAATCACGAAGCTCGTTGATTTATTTTGTTTGCAAATGTTCTGTGATTTTATTATGTACGAGTTTGAAGTTTCAGCTTAATACTATGGGCAGATTTATATAAATACTGAAACGTTTTAGTTTAGTAATTTATTCAAACGACTATAAAGAAATTATGGGAGTAAATTGCTATGAGTGAAAACTTCGATTTTAACGTTTTTACTGTTTACGAAAAGATAAAATAAGAGGTTTTTAGTCATTTATTGAGTATTTTGATGCTGTAAACAAGATGCATTTCTTACTTTCGAATAGAAGAAACATTTTTGGAATGTAAATACTTAACACATTTGTTACAGCTGTTTTTATGACGCTGCCCACAGGGCCGTCCCGAAAAGGTCATCCATGGGGGGGGGATGACCTTTTCGGGACAAAAAAATTCCTTAATATTTGCAATTTGCTAACTATAGCTCAAAACTTGATCAATGTGCCAACTCAAATGACAGCTATGGGGGAAGGGGTGAAGCACACCGACACCCCCTTCCTTCGGGACGGCCCTGGCTGCCCCGTTGCGTTTTATGAATTTTAGTGGTAGTTTTGTTTTGCTTGATGCTTTGGTTAAAAAAAGCTTTATAAAAAAAATAATAAATTATATAAGAAAAGCTTAAATTCTACTTTTTAAAAATATATAACAGTAATAGTCAAAAATAAGCAGAAAACACAAAAAATTGAAGTTTAAAAACTTAAATTTTTGTTTTTATGAAATGCAACTCGTTCAGATCTCTCCTTTACTGCGCTGAGTAGGACTCGTTTTTTACGGACTTACTAAATAGGGGTGCTTGAAAAAAACGTCCGCCTTAAGTGTAGTTTATTTTTATTTGATTCTTCATTAGAATTTTCAATGAAAATTTCATTCATTAGAACAAAAAGAATTACAGTATGGCTCGACCAGGAGTTAAACATCAGCCTCCATCACCGCAGTCTACAGCATTAACCGCTTGACCTAGCAAACACATTTTCAAAGTGTAATTTAACTTTATTAAAATTAATATTTGGATATATATTTGAAGACTTTTTTTAAATTGGGATCCTGTGCCGCAAACAAAGAGCTTTTGGGTCGTATAAAGTATCTAAGGTACCTCCTCCACCTTTTTTTTGATAAACTTTTTCATTGAAAAAAAAGTTTTGGGGAAAGGGGGTATTTCAAAAACGTACGTACTTTTTAAGGAGGGAATGGAATTAGAAGTACGCATGGCAACAGGGGGGAGGGGATCAAATTTCAAATTTTTTGGGGTACGTAATTCGCTTTTTATAGATAATTTATATTCTGACTTATCTTTTGATGAGTTTGAGAAAGCTTATTAATCTCACAAAAGAAACAAAGCCACAGGTGCGGACAAAATAAATGGCAACATAGTAATAGATTGCTTTGAAAATTTAAAATGTATTCTTTATAAAGTCTTCAGGGCATCTATACAGCAAGGTGTATTCCTCAACCAATTAAAAATAGCTAAAGTTTCTCCAATTTACAAAGACGGAAAAAAATTAAATATTAGTAATTATTGCCCTATTTCAGTTCTTTTAACTTTCTCAAAAATTTTAGAAAGAATTATATATAATAGAACATACAATTACCTTAATCTAAATAAACTTCTATATAAAAAGCAATTTGGTTTTAAAAAAAATTATTCAATTCAACAAGCCATTACACAGTTCATTCGTGAAATCTCCAATTCATTTGGTAGATCATAATATACACTAGGTATTTTCATTGACCTATCAAAAGCATTCGACGCTGTCGATCACAAAATTCTACTTAAAAAACTCAGATTTTACGGAATTAACGGCAAATTAATAAAATGATACAAAAGTTACTTGACAAATAAAAAAATGTTTGTTTTCTATGGAGATTATTTTCAAAATGAAAAATTAATTGACATAAAATGTGGTGTTTTACAGGGTTTTATAGGCCCACTTTTGTTTTTAGTCTATATAAATGGTTTAAATAAAGCTTCTAACCTTATGAGCATCATGTTTGCGGACGATACTAATTTATTTCTGTCAAATAATGACATTTATGAGCTTTTTTCAAATATGAATAAAAAAATCAATAACACCTCCAACTGGTTTAAGGGCAACAAGTTAACTTTAAACATTGATAAAACAAAATGGATCCTTTTCCACTCCCTCGCAAAAAATCGTTTTACCCATAAAGCTATAAACAAATATACTTTACGAAATAATAATTTATTAATTGAACCCTTTTGTCAAACAAAGTTTAATCAATTTTGCATACACTATCGAGCACTGTACTTATGGAAAAAAAATTGTTGTTCCTAATTTTGATTTGTCAATTTTATTTTCCGTTTTTAAAACTAAATTAAAAAACTATATTCTTTCTACTGGCAATATATATAAATTTTTTTGAAATGTAAAATTATTTTTACTCCGGATAATTTGAAAAATTATTTTCAGTCTTTGTTTATTCTACATATATAATAATTATAATATAATAATTATATTTTTTAGTTTACAATTATTAATCGTTATATAACAATATATAAACTTGGTATCTGAAAAAAGATCCAAAAGATCTTGTGGCCAAAACCATATAAAATATAAAAATACTTTATTATATAATAAAGTATTTTTATATTTTATAAAAATATATAAAATTTAAAAATACTTTATTATATAATTATTATATAATAAAGTATTTTTATATTTTATAAAAAAAATATAAAATTTAAAAATACTTTATTATATAATTATTATATAATAAAGTATTTTTATATTTTATATGGTTCTGGCGACAAGATCTTTTGGATCTTTTTTCAGATACCAAGTTTATATATTGTTATATAACCATTAATAATTTGTAAACTAAAAAAAAAAAAAAATTTTAAAAATTTTAAAAAAAAAAAAATTTAAAAAAATATTCTAATAAACTATATTAGTTTACTGAAGGTAAAAAAAATTTATACAAATCATAAATTCTAAATTGTATTATTTAAAAAGTTGGATTAATACTTTTAGGTATTTACATCTACGATCAAAATTTAATAGTATGAATATATGTGAGCAAAATGAAGAATACTTTTTGCTAGCCAGTTTCTTCCGAGGAGATAAACTACCAAACTGAAAAGATTATCTATTTAGTAGATCTAGTATTTAGTAGCAGTGGCCTAGGAAAGTCGCAAAAGTTGAAAACATAAATAAAAATGATCTATTTATTCAATTATTTATCACACGCAACGTGATTAATCATCTTTTTAACGTGATAAGTCATCTTTTGCCAGCACACAAAAAATAGTAAGTATGCGATCGTATTTTAAACAGTTATATGGATATACTTTTCCATGGTGATTTTAGTTGTAATTTCATTTTCCAGTCATTGCAGACTGAAAAATGATAATTCCACTGTTGCTATTATAAAAGTTTTTTAAAAACTGTTTAGGAAGTAAGGGGGCTAAATGCAGTGTCCGCCCCCCCCCAGTATTTTAGTTGGGGGGGGGGGGGTTGTTGCCTCCTCTGTCACTACGCCAGTGTTTAGTAGTATATTTAGTAGATTCTCTAATTATTAGTTAAAATATAGTTGCGATTATTCATTATTTGAAAAAGACTATAAAGCAGTCGTATCTTTGAAAAACTGCAGAAGAGTAAAATATGTGTGATATGGCATATAGAGTAATCTGCTTTATGCTTGTAAATGACACTAATTTTAAATGGAAATACATTTAACTGATTGGATTACACTTCATTTAATTAGCAACAATACTACTTAATTTTTAATTCAATTTGCATCATGCAATTAACAAAACCACATCAGTTTTTTCTTGATGATGTAAGGAGCTGTTGTATTGAGATTTCGGCGTGTTCATATTTTGACAAAACTTAGGACCTTTGCCCTCTGCTTAATACCTAATATGGTTACAAATCCTGCAACGATGTTTGTCGTTAGAAATAATTTCCTTTAAAAATTAAAATTCTAATAACTGACATAAATGAATGTTTGCACTTTTGAGCTATGACAATTACCCAAACACAAATTCACGTATTTTTTTTGCTTTTTAGAGAGAGCTTTTGGGTTACGTCTAATATTAACTACAAAAGTTGTGTAAAATTTTTTGCCTTTTCAAAAAAAATAAATTTAAAGGCCGCAAAAATAAAATTTCTAAAGTTAGAACCTGAATTCTGAGTGACAGAATCATTTTTTTCTTCTAAAAGTTTTTCTCTGTATTCCGATCATTATATAAAAAAATCAAGCAATTTGGTCACTTCCACAATTTGATTTTTACAGACAATGGCTAATATAATCATAAAAAAAGCGATAAAATTAACATTAAGTTCAAAAATATTTCGCATTTCTATAAATTCCGAAATACAATTTGATGACAATTTCAGTAGAAAATATAGAATTTCTAAAAGTAATAATTTATATTCACATACTTATTACAAAAATAATTTAAAAACGCAAAAGTAAAAAAAAATGAATATATAAAAATGCAAACAAAATATAAAACATAAGCCCAATCTAATAAATACAGCTTAATAATCTTTGTAATATACTAGGTCATATTCTCAGTAATATAGTACATAATATTTGGTTATATATATTCCGTTATACGCTACAACCAAAAGTTAGACATTAAAAAAATGTTAATTGTATGGCAAATCGTAGGACGTATTATACGAGTACTTTTATTTATTTTACTACGTCTAGTTTTTTAAAAAATATATAATTTAAGTTTCTTTCTAAAGTATTTAGTGTTATATACTAATTATAAAGTTGATATATAACCGTAAAAACACCCGATAACATTGAAAAATATCTAACACCATAAATACCATCAACAGCACCATTTGTAAAATCATTTTGAAAATATGCAATTTGAAAAAGTGTCCCTAAACTGCAAATTCATCACAGACTATTTTCGATTCTTTCATATATTGTTCTTTTTTTCGCTTAACACCTTCTACGATCGCCAGTAAAATCTTTATATTAGCCTAAAATAAATTTATAATAAAAAACTTTTTATGAAAGTTTGTAACAAGTGTAACGAAAACATCAACCAGCAAAACTTTGATAGGTTTTAGTAAAATTTTACCTTGTAGCCAGACCCTTTTGGAAGCCACCCGAGGATGATTCCCAGAGATACTCATAAAATTACAGTTTTAACTCATATTACAATCATTTATATACCGTATAATTGGGTGGCTTTGGTCCTTAGCCCAAGCAAAACCTTTGTTTAAAAATGGTTTAAAATCGATTCCGCAAGTTGCCGGTTAATATTTTGAGGCAAATAGTGGGAAATTTATTATTTATTTAGTCCAACTTAGTTTACTTAACTCGAGTCTTTGTGATATTATTGTATATTGCACTTTAGTAGAACCTAAAATCCGAATTTTTTTAGGTGTGTTAACTTTTACATTGATAGCAGTACTAGGAGGTTTTTTTACTGAAGTATTTTACTCCACTATAATCACTGAATTAATTTTAAACCATTAGTGTTTGATTCGATCTTATTTTGAAAGCTTAACAGTGTATTACTTTATTGAAAATGAGGTTAAAAAAAAAAGGTTACCTTTGGCCAACTATATAAGGTGACATTGGCTCAAAAGAAGAAGACATGTTTAAGGCAAATGCAATAAAATCATCTGAGTTTGGTTATCCTGTTGATAAATATGATTTAAGATGCATAGTAAAAGGGTATTTAGAGAAAAAAGGCGTCGTTATGCCTCAGTTTAAAAATAATTTTCCAGGCGGCGATTGGATTCGATCTTTTTTAAAAAGAAATCCAGAACTCACAGTAAGATTTGCAAGCAACATAAATCGAAAGAGAGCAGAAATAGGAACGACTGCGATTGATAGCTACTTTATAAATCTATCAAATGAAATAAGTAATATATCACCTGATAATATATGGAATTATGACGAAACCAATTTCAGTGATAATTCAGGTAAAAAAAAAATATTAACAAAGCGTGAATGTAAGTATTCTGAACGCATCATTAATTCTACAAAGACCTCATTTTCTGTAATGTTTTCTAGTAATGCTAATAGTGAATTGCTACCACCTTATGTTGTTTACAAAGCTAAGTTGTTATGGAATATATGGATGGAGCATGGGCCACCAAATGCACCTTATAACAGATCAAAAAGTGGTTGGTTTGACTCAACATGTTTTGAGGACTAGTTTTTCTCTTTACTTCTTTTAATATCTACTTCTAATATATGAATTTTCTAGACTTTTAGACCATTTAAATACCAACTTAAATGAACATGATAATGATAACCTTAGAGCTGGTTTTTTCATTAGACAAATCTCAATTTTTCCATTAGACAAGTCTCAAGTGCTTTCACGACTACCATGTTGTATTGTAAGTTTAGACTCAACTAATACTTTAGTTAACCAACCATTTTTAGATCATTTATGTAAGTCACTGGATGATCCCTCAGATGGTTCTAAAAAACCAAAGCTACGTAAAGTATGTCCTGCCCCAGGTAAAAGCTTATGTTCAACAGAAATGTCATCTTGTGTTATAAATAAAAATAACAGATTAAATACAAATAATGTAGATACACCTATCAGTATTATAAATACAATTGAGACCAACAACATTGACTTTGCTGGCCCAAGTACAAATACTGGAACTACTGAGACTTCTAGTCTGATATTTACGGATGTAAGTTTAGTAGTAGAAAGTCATACATAATCTTTAGATCATTCAGAATTAGGCAAAAAGAACTTTCAAAACATTGATAAAACAAAAAATGTTTGTAAAAAAAAAAAATTATTTAATCTTGCAGAGAATTATTATGTAATTGTTAAATGCAACAGAGAGTTGAATCCTGGACAGGTTTGTTTATTTATTTTGAATTATTTATATATAGCTAATCAATTAGTAAACTTTATAACTTTATAATTTAATAATTGATTTTATTTAATGTAATAACTACTGAATAATTTTAAAAAAACTTTTGAAATTTTTTTTATGCAGTTGAAAAAATTAAGAAATAATGGAGCAGAAACTACTATTATGAAAAAAAATGGACTTAACTGGAAATGGTCACTACCAGCAGAGCAACTTTTTTTTCCCCATTCAGATATAGTCGATTTTATTGAGGAACCAAAGAAAATTTCGAAAAGAAGAATTTATTCAGTTCCAGAACTTTTTCACTAAATTTTTTAAAACTTTATTTTTGTCATTTTTGTTTACTTAATACCTAAACTGTTTTGTTTACTTGGTACCTATACTTGTTTAGTTTGTACCTATATTTTATTTACTGTATACAAGAACTTTGTTGCTAAACCTTTTTTGTCACTTTATTTTTGTAAATTTATTTTCTTTGCCTAAATATTGTTGTTTTTATTGTTGTTTTGCTTCCTTTAGTCCCTAGCCAAAGTCACCTCAACACACTTTTGGCGACTTTGGCACACGATTTAAACCACCCAAAAGATACTTCAGGTAAATAAATTTCAAATGGGAAACAGATAGTTAACTATCCTTTTTATGCGCTTCTAAAAGTACTTAGTGTTTGAGGAAATAACTTTCGTGGCTTTCATGCAATAGAGATTAAAGTGCAAAATGGGCCAAAGCCACCCAATCTTACTGTAATTAAAAACTAGCCAATAGAATTACACCACAAAACAAACAAACAAAACACAAAGGAATTACGATTATTAATTAATATTAGGTTTGATAAAGTGAATTAAATGATATTAGTTATAAAACTAAGTGAACTACTGATAAAATATTGTTTTTATTATACTGACATGATTAATGAAAATTAGTTTCACTTGCTAAGAGTTAAAAGAAAATGAAACTCTGAACCCCACCCCTTAATAAAAAAAAGAAGGGGGTTGTTAACTTTACATAGCCACAAGTCCTGAATGCCAAGTATTTTTTGATGAAATTTGAAATCTATTCATTAATTTTGATTTAGTTTACATCAGTACAAAAAGTTTTCTTAAAAAAGCTATATAAAAAAGCTATTTAAAGAAATTGAAAATTTTTATTAAGTACAACTTTAAATAACACTAAGTATTATAATCTTTTAACTCCAAAATCAAAACCAGTAAATTTCAATCTCTCTATACATCTTTGTTATATATGTTATATTTATTTTCATAATCTTGTTATAAAAGTTACATCTCTTGTTATATGTGTTATATCCTATTATATATGTTCTCAAAAATCTTTATGATCTATACTTCATTTATATCGTTGTCATGTAGGCTTACTTTGCACAAATCGCCTCACCAAACAGTTCTGCATACTTTTACAAGCCCCACCATGCATGCTTTACAAAAGGAAAAACATGGCAACATATAATGTGGATTTTTCATGATACTGTTAGTGTCTTTCCGAGTGAAGAAGCTGTTTCTTGAAGACATAGAAAAGCATCTTTAATAATGATATTTTGTGTTCAGAGTCAAAATTGAGATTTACAAATTTTTTAAGCTTTGGACTACAGGAAGTAGATTAAGTACTTTAAATTGCACCTTAAGTTGAATTTTATCAATCAATTTTAAAATATTATTTGCATTATAACCCTATTATTATCCCATCTAATTCCTGCTACGATATGCTTCTAAGAATAGATTTAGCTTAGGCAAAGGAACTTAATTTTTTAGCCAAGTATTTTTATCATTGTCAAGTTAAACTAAGCGTTTTTTCACAATATTATCAAACTCCTTCATCGATAATCTGATTGATCTACTTATAATATATGCTCCATTACAGGAATCAAAATTGCCAATAGTTCTAAGAGTTTCTATATCAAGTGTACATTTGCCACTATGCCACAAGCAAGCTTTTTTACCTGTATGCAAATAATACATTTGCACATTTAAAATTAAAAACAATAAAATAGTTTACATCTTCAAGATTATGTTTCTCTAGCATTAATCTAAGGTTTTCATATTTTTCAAGAATATCTTCAACAATGGCAATAACAAAAACTTTTTGAACTTCACCATTCTTAAATTTATTTTCAGACTCTTTTTTTAAAAAAAAAAACATTCACAACAAATTTTAGGAAGTCTTCCACACTATCTAAAGAAAATCTTACAAAACTTAGACTTATACGTCTTTCCTTAATAATATGCAGGATTAAATCAGAGAGATATATATTTAACATATACTAAATCTCAATTGATAGCTAGAAATTTCAACTTGCTCTACACAATTTGCTCTAAAGTATTTCTCATGTTTTTAGTTTAAAAACTGTCCCTCTTTCTATACCTTCACACTCCATTTTTTTAAAAATTATAGCACTGACTACTTCTTCTGCATACTCTCCTAATTGTAAGCAGTGGTCAATATTATCTGCAGCAGCAGCGAACACTGATCAGAAATGCCCTGTCCAGTTACAATAAACAAATACTACATATACTTTTACATTTTCAGATTTTTCTAAATATATACTGATCTTTCAAATTAACAAACTAACAAATTTTTAACTAACAAATTTCTGCTACAACTTAACAATTAAATATGCAAAGAGATTTATTTTATATATTTATGTTATACAACTATATAAATATAATATAATAAATATAAATTACATATAATTATTTGTTGAATTACTGATACCATTTACATAAGCAGGAATAAAGAACCACCCAAGTAGAATATCAAAAAAAAAACTGACTTTTTTTACATAACATTGAAATAGTATACAAAGTATTAGTACATAAAACAAAGTAATAGTATATAAAATACTTTAGCAACCTGAAGTCCCCATGATCCCCTAGAAGTATGGCTACTCTTGAGAAGGTACAAACTTCATTTACAAATACCACATATGACATTAGGAAAAGCCATAATATTTTTACCATAACCATCATTAATGTAGAGTATGATAATATCTTGTATTCAGGTGGTGACTTCTGAACATAGATCTGGCATTTTTTAAAACCCAACACACTGCACAAACCAAACCGTAAGAAACTATTTCAATAATATTTTTGGTATTTTTATTTAATGAATATTACTATATTAAGGCTGAGTAACATCCAGACAATTTTCATTAACAAAAAGCGTTGATGTCTTATTTTATCGAAATAGTACAATATGTAGTTTAGTATACTAAATGTTTAGTTTACCAAATTTGCAACATTTTTTTAAGCGAGTTTAAATTTTAAATGATTGTCTAGCAAATTAAAGAGTTTTTTAATGTAAAATTTTGAAAATTTTGAACGTCACACAAAGATTATTATTCTGAAATGATAGATGAATAGAGATGATTTGCTCTTTCGCGCAGAGATTTTCCTTCAACGTAAAACATTTTTGAATTTAAATTACTTTAAATCTCTGCGTGGAAAATTTTTAAAAAGTCATTAAAGCGAAAAGTTGAAAAGGGAAAAGACGTTTCGAGTTTTTTCTTCATTCTAACAAAACAGCCTGGTTTTTGTCTTTGTTTATCAAAATGTTTAAAATAAGGCTTAAAAACGTTAAAGCAAAAAAATTGCTGACTTTTATTTGTATTTTTATACTGTTTGAAAAAAAAACTAATAAAAAAAGAATTAATTATTATTATTATTAATTCTAATAATTATTAATTAATATATTATTAGTTAATTCTTTTTTATTAGTTTTTTTTTCAAACAGTGTAAAAATGCTAATAAAAACCAGCAACATTTTTACTTTAAGGTTTTTTAACCTTATTTTAAACATGAAGTATAACTTGATTTATTGAACCAAATTTTTTTGTTTCACTTTTTATTGGAAAACAATTTAAATAGAGAAATTGAATAAAAACATCAACTTAAAAACCATTTAAATGAAAAACTTAATTATATTTAAACTTTTATTAGTCCTTCAATAAACAATAAATTATAAAAACGCTGTTTTTAAAAAACTAATTTTTTAGTAAGTTTTTGGCGATGTTTTTTAATTTATTGACGATAATTTTTTAATTTATTAATTAAAACAACTTCATTTATTTGCTTCGTTTTATTTTAAACACATTTTATGTTATTAAATTGTATAAACTGTTTTACATTAACACAAGCTATTTATATTTTAAAGACAACTTTTTGTTTTATTGTTGTTTTATAGCTTTTTACAATAACAATTAAATACTCATTAAAAAAGCGTGTTTTATCATCAGCGTGATTGTATTAAACAGTTTTCTATGACTAATTAAAGTGGTTTAAATATTGCAGTGACGGATCCAGGAATTTTTGGTGGAGGATGTTGAAATATTTTTGAATTTTGCACCATGTTTGCGTCTCCTAAAAAAAAGAAGCAAAAAACAAGGTCCTCAATTTCTATGATATTTTCAAGACTTTCAGATTCTGGTGTGTGTGTGTGTGTGTGTGTGTGGGGGGATGCATTCCCCCATCCTCCCCCTGGATCCGTCACTGAAATATAGTAATGTTTGCTTTTTACTCTTATTTTTTTACTTTTACTTTTTTAAGTATCCTGTTAAGCAAAAACAATTACTTAATTAATAGTATTAAATACGTTACTTGCTCATTACACTGTAACTGCAACTTAAACTTTAAATTATAAATTAAGCTGTAAATTATAACAGTAACTTACACTATTTTAAACTTCGCCAAACAAGGAAATCATAAGACAACATTTAAATATGAGAGATAGTATGTTAAAAGATAACAATTACGTGCTGAAGAGACAGTTTTATACTAACGCAAGCCCTACCCCATTACCGCACATCGGCGCAAGCTATAAAAAAAAAGGGGGGGGGATATATATATTTTTTCGCGATTAGATTTTTTTGCGTTAATTCGAGCCCTGCCTTAATTTAATTTCTAATAAAATGTCTATTTAACCTTATCAATTTGAACCAAAAAAATATAGCAAAATTAACATAAATGTTAATTTAACTAAAACATTTTATAATAATTATTTTTTTTATCAAGCGAAAATGAGAATAACCGCCACTTTCAAAGCCATAAAAATGACTGAAATAAATTTATTTTTATACTAAGGAAATATTTTAAATAAACTTTCATGTGTCTACATCAATATTCATTTGTTAAAAACTGACTAAAAAGAGTTTAAAATTTGACTATTCTTTTTTGGCCGTGGAATTGCCCTTATAACACAAATATATAAATTAAAATTATAAAAAAATTTTTTATATACAAATATATTTTCACAAAATGCTACAAAACTTATTCTTGTAAGTAGTTATGTGTTAGCTAAAAAAAAACGACTTTACTTTTAAATTTAATTACCAACTAATACGTTTGCAATAATGACATTTTGTCTACTTTGTTTAATTTGACGTACAAACATTAGTTTTTTGAGGCAGTAGAGTCAATAAACTTTGGACAAGATGCATTTTTTTTAATCGAAGAAAAGCTTTTTTTTGAAAATTAAATTTGTTAGTGTGTGTTCATTATTACGTTTTAGAAAAAATAGTATACATCAAACATTTTTTTTTTAATGCTCTTTCATATGAGATCATATCTTTAAAGCACTTAGGGATCCCTTTAATTATGATTAAATCATGTTACTATAATGATAACCATAATTTACAGTGGAAAAATCTGACAGTGTAAAACAAAATATAAAATCCGACAGTGTAAAACAAAATATAAAAATATAAATAAAAATATTAAAATTAATTAACTCCAATTAAAATTTAAAATTTTTAAAGTTAAATAAACAAATTTAAATATTTAAAAAACTTTAATTAGTAAAAATCAAATAAAAATTAGGCCTAGAAAATAATATATAAAATTGTTTTAACAAAAAAAAAATTAAAGCAATAATATTAATAACATTAAAATGTCTGCCCAAACCCTCTAATATCAACAATAAATTTTTTTTTCAAAAACAGGTCTCAAATGAATAGAATATTTAAACCATTTTTATATATATATATATATATATTTATTGTTAAAAAATTATAGTACCATAGTGTTAAAATTTTTTTTTTTAATAATAAAAAAAAAGACCATTATATAAAAAATTTGTGAAACTTTAAAATAATTTTGCTTTATTTGATTTATAATATATTTATTTATTATGAGCATGTATAAACAATGTTAAAAAAAAAGAAGTGGTAGTACTCATACACTCATGTCTAATAAGTTTTCTTGTAATCTCTGGGATAACATGGGTGAAATATTTTCTTACATTCACAACCATAACCTCCCTCTCACCACAGCTGAAGTTTACATATTTCATGCCTCTAATTGACAGAAAATAACTCAAAATGCTATTGTTTCATTATTAAAAAAAAAAAAAAGTTTACACAATGATAATTTTCTTCCAAATTTCTATGTCATATTTAACAAACTGTATCACATTTTAAATCTATGCAATGTTTTAAATTTGACGAAAATTTTGTTTTTCAAGCTTTTTTATAGCAATGAGCTGCTTTTGAGCAATGACTTTGTTTTTGATGATGTTTTTGAAGAGAATAGAGTTATTCAGATCATTTGTTTTACAATCCCATTTGTTTAGGATCAAAGGATCCCATTTGTTTAGGATCCTACTCTATTCTAATGATCTTAACTCTATACCTTACAACAACTCTTTTACAATACCATAAATGTCTGTTACTGTTATATTATCTTAGGTGAAATAATCCCACTTGACTTTCTATGACAACCAATGTTTTATCTCCAACCTTTTTATCATTTTTAAAAATAAAAAGGTTGGAGATGCTTAAAGATTTCTAAAGATCTTTATTCAGATTCAAGTCACTGATTGGATCCTCTGCTGAATTTGAGCAGAATTGTCATGTGTTCACATAAATTAGAAGTGTATTGAATGAATAGCTCCAGTTTAGCAGAAATAACTAAGGAGTAGCGCAACTGGTGGTTCTTGAACAGAAGAATACATATTCCAAGGTCTAACCTAACATGGAGTCTAGAAATAGTTTCTGCATTGCTATTTTCTTCTTGTTTTTAAACATTTTTCTCATTATAAAATGGTTAGCTTTGTGCTAATCATTTTGTAACTACTGCAAAATGCTCTTTTAATTTTAATTTTTATCGTAAACAGTACACCTCATTAAATGTACCAATCAATACCAGTACACTTAATTAAATATACCAATCAAATTACTTCATTTTATTGTTTCAATTTAAAACCATTCAGTTCATAATTATATTTCTGGTTTTCTATACTGAAATGTATAGAAAACTAATTTGCAATGACATACAATATTCCGGTAAAATAATTGATGTTTTTGAGATAAGTAACTTTCACATTTAAAGCAAACTTTAAACTTAAATTAGTAACTATCACACATAAAGTAAACTTATACGCTCATGTCAAATGAGGATGCCTTACAAAAAATTATGGTGATTTGAAGCTGGCTACAACTCTGTGTCTAATGAAATAATTGGTTTCAATAAGATACTGTGAGGTGGAGAAGAGATTTGATGAAAGTAAGATGAGAGGTGATGAGGCAGAGAAGAAAGATGAGAAAATGAGTCAAAATTAAAATGTTTCTAAAATTTAACAAATATATAAAAACCATATATAGCGTCATGATTTTTAAATTTCCTTTCTGTCTTTTTGGAAATTTAAATCTGAATAAATTGAATCTTTTTATGAACTCAAAGACATCTAAAATACACAGAAATCTAAAATAATTGCAAATTACTTACACGAGAAAGACTTAATTTTTGCAAATCATGTTCATATTTAACACATATATCATGGATTGATGCAAGATCTCGCGCAAGGTTTTGTTTAACAGCCACAACTTGAGGAGGAGTAGTTATTTGACTCTAAATATATTATTTTGAATTAACAAGGCTAGAACCATTTAATTATAACATAACATTTTTTTCTTTTTAAAAATCAAATAATTCATAAAATTGGTTTAATATTTTAATTATTATGACAATCATATTATCATTAATAATACTATTTATAACATTATAATACATTTTATATAAATATAAATACAATATCATATATAATAAGATATTGCATTTATATTTATGATATAATATTATTTATACTTTTATAATTTTTAACTACTTTTAACATAAATAGTTTGTTAAACCATATGTCAACTATAACTACTTATTATATGTGCAAAAATGCCGAATGAAGATGAAGTTTTTGAAGTTTATTTTCCTTAGTTGAAAATATTTTTCTAGAAATAATAATCAACAACTCACAGATATTTCATCAAGAAAGTCAATCATTTTTGAACGATACTTTTGCAAGAAAGGATTAACAACAACAAGATAAGGTTCCTGTAAAAAAAAAAGAAGCAAAAGATAAAAAATTATTTGTAAGAGGTTAAGGTAACAATTAGAGTTAACTTTAACAAACAATTGTGAATATATATATATATAAATTTCACAATTGTGAAAGTATATATATTATATATATATATATATATATATATATATATATATATATATATATATATATATATATATATATATATATATATATATATATATATATATACACTAGTGATCAAAAGTTTAGACTCAGAAAAAAAATCTCTTAAGCTTAGCTCTGAAAATGCTAAAAAAAATTTATTAAGATAATGCTTGAAATTTTTTTTTTTAATTCAACTTATTTAGTTTGTTTCTAACATAATTACAAAAAACACACACCTTTTATTTTATATATTGGTCTTTTTTTTATTTTATAATAATAGCGCTATTTAAAAACAAATAAAATGTGTCTCATAAATTTAGACTCACTTTTTCTATCTTTATTTCCATATAAGTGCTTAACCTTTTTTTTTAAAGATTGTAATTCTAACATGGATCAAAATATATTTTCTAAAATATTATGTTTAAATCCATTTAAAAATTAAATTATTTACTAACTTAGTGCACGCTAATCAAAATATACAATTTTTACTCATTATTTGCATTTAAAATATTTAGAAAATGGGTAAAACATCAGTATCAAAAGAAATCAAAGAAAGAATTATCACCTTGCACCTTGCTGGTAATTCTACAAGAAAAGTTCAGTTGATTCTCAAGAACGTATCACAGTCATGTGTCACTAAAACAATAGCTAAGTGGAAAAAAACAGGTAGCACATTAGATAAAATCAGATCCGGAAGACCCAGAAAAACAACTACCACTGATGATAATAGTATATACAGAATTGCCAGAAAAAATCCTAAGTATAGTGCCAAACAAATTGCTCAAGAAATAAATCTAGCTCTTAAAAATGACATCTCAAGGCAGACAGTAAATAGAAGATTAATTGATCGTAAACTATGCTCGTATACTGCTGCTAGAAAACCAATGCTTAAAAGATCAGATCGACTCAAACGGCTACAATTTTGCAAGAAAATTCTTAAGATGAGTGATAGTGATATAAAAAAAATTGTGTTCAGCGACGAATCGAATTATGCAGTCGTTAATCGAAAAAAAAGAGTAACTGTTCGAAGACACCATAATGAGAAGTTTCATAATCGTTTCATTGTACCTCGGTTACAGGGCGGAGGAGGTTCAGTTGGGATCTGGGGTTGTATCACGTATGATGGACCCGGACTATGCTACTTGTACACTGGTAGAATGGATCAATACAGATACATTGAGACGCTTGAAAATAATTTGATTCCAACAAGAAATTTATTTTTTGGAGATGAGCCAGAATGGAACTTTCAGCAAGATAATGCCCCTTGTCACAAAGCAAAAACAGTAACAGCTTGGTTTAAAGAAAATAAAATCAATTTACTCCAGTGGCCAGCTAGATCGCCAGATTTAAATCCAATGGAAAATGTATGGTCTGTGCTTGATCGAAAACTGACCAAAGCTCCTGTAACTTCAGCTGAAGAACTACGAAAAAGTTTAAAAGAGTTGTTTGATGGCTTGTCCTTTGAATATTGTCGAAATCTTTTTGAATCTATTAAAAGAAGATGTAGACTTTGCATAGCTAACAAAGGCGGTCACATACCTTATTAACTTGACTTACAGTTTAAAGTGAAAAGTCCTGAGTCTAAACTTATGAACAAGATTTTTATAGATATCTTTTTACATGATTTTGCTATTTTCAAAATAAAATACTTTAAACTTGTTTTTCTTTTCAAGTCTTTTATATATATTAAAGAGAATTTCATAAATAATAAACTGGATTAAAAATAAAATTAAAAACAAAACAAAAAAGGCATTTTTTTAAATCACAAATCACTAAGAAACTATAAGTTTTATTCTGAGTCTAAACTTTTGATCACTAGTGTATATAATTGTATGTGTATAATTGTATGTGTATAATTTATATGTGTATAATTTTTTAAATAAATTACAATTTTTTTAAACCTTTTTGACAACATTTTCATCAATATCAATTGACATCATCAGGTATAAAAAATTAGTTACAATTTCAGTATACAAACAATTTTTTGGCTATATTAAAAATTTAATAATTTTTACAATAGTTACCATAGTTACATTTTATAAAATAAATAATTACCATGAAATTTTACAAAAGATTATACAAAAGGTGTGAAGTAATTCATAATAAACAAAATAGGAAGATAATTGATGTTGGAGTGTATTTGAAATTTGTCCAATGTAAGTGAGTTTAAAGTAATGTATATAAGATGCCATCTTGAAGATGACATGTTTTCTTTAGGAGAGATAAGGTTGTTTATACATACATATATATATATATATATATATATATATATATATATATATATATATATATATATATATATATATATATATATATATATATATATATATATATATATATATATATTTATATATATTTATATATAAATATAAATATATATATATATATAAATTGCCCATATATATATATATATATATATATATATATATATATATATATATATATATATATATATATATATATATATATATATATATATATATATATATATATATATATATATATATATATATATATATATATATATATATATATGGATAATTCCGCAAAAGTGGTGGTCATAACATTTGACACTCTTTAAGCCAATAAAAAATGAACTGAAAATGGAAATGAATTGAAACTTTCTAGAACTGTGAATATAGTTTATCATATCGTTTAGTATGCAAAAATTACAGCATTAAAGTCTTTTTTTGGAAAAATTTCTTTTTTGTCCAAAAATATATGGAATTAATTTAATTGATGAATTAATAAATGAAGTTAATTTTTGGAAAAAAAGAAATTTTTCCAAAAATTAACTCTACGTATTGTGACGGTCACAATGTTTACTTTTTACCACTTATAAACAAAACAACTTTGTCAAAATTAATCAAATATATTAGGGTGTGTCATACTTTTTGAAAATTGAATTTTGCTTTGCATAACTAAAAAAAGGGTGAGATTTATCATTAAAAGTTCAAAACTAGTAATTAAGCAAAAAAAAAAAAAGTTTTAGCTACCAGGAAATCAGTGACAGTGTTCTACAAAAAAGTCTGGGGGAAGGGGGGGGGGGGAAGGGAGGAGTAAGTGGAACTGAAAATTTTGAAATTTATTTTACCTTTTTACTTTTAAAATTGTTAAAAGTGTTTCCTATTTCTAAAACAAAATTTTTTTAAAAAAAACATCAAAAAGGGTCTTGCCCTCTTCCTCCTCCCCCCCCCCCCAGCTCACTGTGTAAAAATGAGATAGAGAAAGTTAAAATGTGTTGTAGAACTAAACATAAAATGCTTTTTATAAATCCATGAAACATATTTACTGGCACAATAAAATACAGTGAAATATTATCATTAAGATTATTTCTTAAACATTGTCAATCCAATAAGGTTTTGTTTGGATGTGACATGAGTTTCTGAGATACTAGTCCTTTAATACAACTATCTCTCCTATATTCTGTGAAAACATTTTCACATGCCTGGGTGACTTTTTTTACACATCTTTCGACAGCTTGAGTGTGGCAACACCAGTTTGGAACAATCATTGGTTTAAAAAAGTACTCTTTGATATTTGTAGTTGTCATACAACAAGTTAATGTTGGTTTAAAAGCTTCATTCCAATCAATAAGATCTTTGAGAAAAATTGCTTTAGTGTTGATATCTAGTGTCCTTCTTTGTCTAACAGATAGGTCTTCCAGTTGTACATTTTCATCACCTTCTCCTCTTATTTAAAGAATTTTATTTACACTGAAATTTCTCTCTTCTTTGTTTTCAGAACAAAGCATAGTTTGAAGAATAGACTCAGAAAAGGCATACCAAGCAGATCGCTTAATAGTAGGAATGACTATACTCTGAATATCTAGTGATTGGTGTTGAAGCAATTTCTGGTAAAGAACATGTTTTGGTCCTTCTATCCAACTCTGCTTAACTTTGATGTTAAACCAGATAGGAAAATACACTCCTACAATATACTCTACAAATTTCTGAAGATTTTGGGCAGCATTGCCTTGAAGACCATGATGAGATCCAAATTCTACAGATTCTATTGGCTGTTGTTAGCCATCTGGCTATGTTAACAGGGCCAATTTCAAGAAGTTCTAGTTGCTGAGGAACATGACCACTACGTATAGCTTTAACTATTTGATAGTCATAATACTGATCAGTAGAAAGGTCTTTCACTACATCATTACTTAAGTTAATAAGAGTCTCACCAATTTCAATCTTAGTAAAAAACGGGTTAATTTTAAGATTGGTTGCTTTGTCAAGTAAGCTTCCAATAGGTCCACTCCATTTTTTACTGCTTTTAGATTCTCCATCTAACAATTTAATTAGATGTTTTAATGGTAGCTAATTGGTCTGTAGAGCACAGACAATCCAATTTAACTTTCGTCCTAACTTTAGCTCCATTAGGTGCATTACTCCTCCTTCCCAACCAGTGTTTACATCGGTAGAGAAGGAGGTCTCCACCAATTGCTGTTAAGTGTGTCCTAATTTTTCTCATTTCAGTATACTCAAAGATTTTATCTGCAATAATTTCAGCATGTTTCTTTTCTGCTTCTTTAGCTGGTGTGAAATGAAATAAATACTTTCCATCACCAGAACAAACATTGTAATGTTCTTCTTTAACTTTAGCAGGGTTTTGTCTATCTGACCCATCTACAGTTAAAAATATTTTAGTCAGATCTTTTTGTCCATCAAAAAATATGCAGTCTATAATCTCTTTACCACAGTAATTATCAAACTGATTAGTAACTTCTTTCATAACTTTATCCCTAGCTCTTCTAACTTTACTGTGATCAATTATTAATCTATTGTCATTTTTGGATACAAGTCCTCCATCTACCCATGCAGCAGTAGCTATTGCTGCAGTTGCTCTTAAACCAACACCATATCTA